GACAGAACTTTTTGCCGCAGTTCTGCTTTTAAAATACGCATGCACTAAACTTGACAGGAGATACTAACCAATAGCGAACTAAACCTCGCCCATAAGATAAGACGTAACAACAAGGAAATTGTGGTACTGCCAATAGTTGTATGACACGCTGTAACCCTTTGTCTATGTAAGCTATAAAAATGAAACCTCAAGAGGAGTTCGGGGTCAACATTGCTTAGAGCGTCAGCTCCTCTGTTGACATTGCTTGCGCAACCAATAAACTCATGATGGACCCACCCTGTGTGTGACTCTCTCCTTGAGGTGGAATTGGCTTAGCCTCCAGGGGCACGAAACTAGCCGTTTGGGCAACAGGGTCCCCCAAGGCTCTGTCCTTGGACCTTTATTGTTCAACATCTTTATTAATGATGTGGACATTGGAGTTAGAAGCAGACTGGCCAAGTTTGCTGATGATACCAAACTCTGGGGTAAAGCATCCACACCTGAGGGCAGGAGGGCGATCCAGGCTGACCTTGACAGGCTCAAGAAATGGGCAGATGAGAACCTGATGGTGTTTAACACTGAAAAATGCAAGGTTCTCCACCTTGGGAGAAAAAACCTGCAGGATCCTTATAAGTTCGGCAGTGCTACGCTGTTTAGCACTACAGATAAAAGGTGCTTGGGGGGTCATGATTGACCACAAGATGAATATGAGCCTTCAATGTGATGCTGCAGCTAATAATGCAATAAAACCACTGGTTTGCATCCATAGATGCTTCTCAAGCAAATCCCGGGACGTCACTCTCCCGTTGTACTTGGCCTTGGTGAGGCTGCAGTTGGAGTATTGCATCCAGTTTTGGGCTCCTCAATTCAAAAAGGATGTGAAGAAGCTTGAGAGAGTCCAGAGAAGAGCCACACACATGATCAGAGGTCAGGAAAACAGACCTTGCGATGGCAGGCTGAAAGCTATGGGGCTCTTTAGCCTGGAAAAGCGCAGGCTCAGGGGTGATCTGATGGCCACCTATAAGTTTATCAGGGGTGTTCACCAGGATCTGGGGGAACGATTGTTCACCAGCGCACCCCAAGGGATGGCAAGGTTAAACGGTTATAAACTCCAGCAAGACCGTTTCAGGCTGGATATAAGGAAGAATTTCTTCACTGTCCAAGCCCCCAAGGTCTGGGATAGCCTGCCATCAAAGGTGGTTCATGCACCTACATTGAATGTCTTCAAGAGAAATTTGGATGCTTGTCTTGCTGGGATCCTATGACCCCAGCTGACTTTCTGCCCTTTGGGCAGGAGGCTGAACTCGATGATCTTCCGAGGTCCTTTCCAGCCCTAATGTCTATGAAATGTATGAAATCAATGAAAGGAGCATCT